GCTACCTATAGCATGACACCTCGCCCGGACTTGCTCACCGAACTCGAGCCGTCACCGGTGAAGCATGTCACATCGGCTTTGGGGCAGCGAGCAGAGGTGAAAGGCATGGACAAGGCCATGTTCAAGGGTGCTGATGGGAAGATGGTGGGCCTCAAAAACGTGCTTTGGGTGCCCAGCCTTGCTGCGAACCTGATTTCCGTGCGGCGATTGGCAAAGGCCGGCAAGGACACGAACTCGAAGGGAGCCAAGACCTACACCGCAAGGCTTGGCGAGCGGATTCTATGGGACCTTCATGAGGATAGGGGCGTCTACAATGAGATGTGGCAGATCCCTGTGGTCCCCATGCCTAAGGAGAGGCAAGTGGCAGCAAGTGTCAGCACCAAGGGTGAAGCGGTTGGTAGCGGAGATGGTGCGAACGGTCGCGCTAAGGAGAACGAGTCCAAGAAGAGCAATCTTGGAGGGACCAGCAAGCTCGGTGAACCTAAGGAGAGAGGTGCAGCAGCCAAGGAGCAGCACAAGGGTGAGGATAACCCCGAGGTAGCAGCGGAGGAGGAGTACGGAGAGAGCATGTGGGGCGCTATTGCGAGTGCGGCATTCTCCAATCCGACTTCGGCTACGGGGGAGTGTGATTGGCTTACCTTGCATCGGCGAATGGGGCATGTGGCCCTGCCTATCTTGCAGCAGCTAGTGAAGAATGAGATGGTTGCTGGCATACGTGTGAAGGGGGAGCCTGATGAGGTGCTTGGCTGCCCGACGTGCATTCAAGCCAAGTTCACCCGGTTTCCGTTCCCTAGTTCGGAGGCAACGGCAAAGGCACCACTTGATGAGGTGGTGATGGACGTGGTGGGCCCCCTGAAGCTTGGAGCTGCTGGAGCTGAGTATTTTCTCACCATTGTCGACGTCTACACCCGCATGACTTGGGTGTATGTGCTGGCCAAGAAGAGCGACGTGGCTGAAACGTTGAAGACGGATTGGTTCCCGATGGTGGAGCGGCAACAAGACCGTCTAGTCAAGTCAATCCGCACCGATCGAGGGGGAGAGTTCCTGAGCAAGGAGTTTGGGTTGTGGCTGAAGAAGAATGGTATTCGGCACTCCCTCACCATGCCATACTCCCCTGCAATGAACGGCATCGCCGAGCGAGCGAACCGCACAATCACGGAGGCGACACGCGGGTTGCTCATTGAAGCCGGGCTACCCGACTATTTCTGGCCTGATGCGGTGCGGAGCGCGTGTGTGGCCAAGAACAGAGCCTTGACTCATGTGGGAGCAGATAAATGGGTGCCCTATGTGGAGTGGCTAGGAAGGAAGCCAAAGGTGGATATGCTTCGGGTGTTCGGGTGCATGTGCATGGCGCTCGTGCCTAAGCATCTTCGGCACAACAAGCTTGGTGCCAAGGCGGTGTGGGCCGTGCACTTGGGCATGGCTCAAAACAGCAAGGGATGGCTTCTTTGGGACCCATTCACCAAGAAGTTCTTGGTGAGCAGGGACTGCAAGTTCATGGAGAACTTCATGTACAAGGATTGGAAGGCGGAGAATGAGGCGAAGATAGGCGTGCGGTTTGGGGAGGTGAAGAGTTCCGGTTTGGAGCATGTGGAGCTGCCTTTGGAGCTGAGCAGCGGCAGCACAACCACGACGCAATCCTCCCTCGTGAATGGGGGAGAGGAGGCCAATGATGCAGAGGAAGAAGAGGAGGAGGTGCAGCAAGTGAGCGAGCGTGCACCGTCACTCCCTTCCCGTACTACGAGTGCTCCACGGATTCGAGCCACACCGCAGCAACGCCAAGGCCTTCAAGTCCCTGCAGCTGAGGAGGAACGAAGGGGGAAGAGGAGAGTTCAACCCCCTAATAGGCTGACCTATGATGCGCCGGGAAAGCAGGGCAAGACTGCCCTGGCCGGAGCGGCAATGATGGTCGGAGACGACGAGGAGAGTGACTACGAGGAGTGTGCCTTCGCGTTCTTCTCTCCGGTGGAGATGCCGGGAGAACCAGCAACTCTCAAGGAGGATTTGGAGAGTAGTGATGCTGAGGAGTGGAAGAAGACCATGGAGAGTGAGCTGAAGAGCATCGATGAGAATGACACATTTGAATTGGTGGAGCTACCGGAGGGGCGTACGGCGATAACGTCCAAGTGGCTCTTCAAAATCAAGTCGGATGCCGACGGGAAGATCGAGCGCTACAAGTCTAGGCTTGTAGCCAAGGGGTACCAGCAGAAGGAGAAGGTGGACTTCAAGGAGCTGTTTGCCCCTGTGGTGAAGCCGACGACGCTGCGAACCCTATTCGCGGGAGCCGCCATCAAAGGATGGGTAGTAAAACAAATGGACATCGTAACACCATTCCTTAACGGCATCCTTGAGGAGGAGATTTTCATGGCGCAGCCAGAGGGGTTTGATGATGGTAGTGGCAGAGTGTGGAAGCTGAAGAAGGCCCTCTATGGGCTGAAGCAGGCCCCTAGGCAATGGTACATGAAGCTGCGCGAAGTGTTGGAGGGGATAGGCTTCACTCCCTCAACGGCCGATCACTCCTTGTTCATGCTTGGCGAGGGGGAGCAGAGGAGCTTCATGGTGGTGTACGTGGACGACATCCTGATCTTCTCACCCTCTTCTGACCTTGTGAAGGAGGTGATGCTGAAGCTGCAAGACAAGTTCAAGTGCAAGTCCCTTGGTGACGTCAACTTCTACCTTGGGCTCCACATCGAACGAGACATGAAGAAGCGGAGCATGCGAGTGCACCAACGGAAGTACCTTGAGGCGTTGACCGCCAACTTCGGCCAGAGTGAAGGTCATGTGGCTACTCCCTTTCCCTCTGGGTTCAAGTGTGTGAAGGGGCCAGAGGAGGAGAGCGTTGGAGAAGAGGAGAGGCGCCGTTTTCACTCGTTGGTGGGCAGCCTCATGTATGCGGCGGTAAACACCCGGCCGGACGCCGCGTTTGCTACCGGGCAGCTGGCTAGGGTTGTGCAATGCCTTAATGAGGAGCAGGTAGCAGCTGGAATGAGGGTGGCCAAGTATCTTGGCCAAACACCGACCGTTGGGCTGCAATACTCGGCGGCGGCACAAAGGCGCCAAAAGGGCGCGGATGGTGTTGAACCCGGGCGTTTGTTCCTCACCGCCTACTCGGATGCTTCATATGCATCGGAACCAGAGGACATGACAAGTGTTGGAGGGTTCATTTGCTGTGTTGGTGGAGGCCCAACTGCTTGGGAGAGCAAGAAGCAGGTTGATCAAGCATTGAGCTCGGTGGAGTCCGAGTACATGGCACTCTTCCGTGCCGTACGGGAGATTGTGTGGCAGCGGCGTTTGTTGGCTGAATTGGGGGAGGAGCAGCAAGGACCTACCCCACTGTACTGTGACAGCCAGGGTGCCATTGCTCTTGCTAAGAACCCTGTGTTGCATGGACTCACGAAGCACATGAGGGTGAAGTGGCATTGGACGAGGAGCATGGTAACCGCGGGTGAAGTTGAGTGAAGACCACGGGGCAGCCAGCTGACATGATGACCAAGAGGCTGGTGGAGCAGCAGCATTGGAAGTGTTGCAAGCTGGCTGGGATGGCTCTGAACTAAGAGAGCAAGATCCTAAGGCCAACAATCCGAGGGGGAGTTTGTTGGTGCAACCCTACGGTTTGCACTCGGCTTGTTGTCCGTGTGCGTGCATACGTGTGTGCATGGAATTGAATGAGTGCATGAAATAAATATATATTTCATGCTTATAATATTGTGTGAATGATGGGTCATGATGTCGAGTGTGTGTGTCAAGTCAATAGCGAATTATCGCTAGTCGCGTGTAACGTGGTCGTTTTGTGTGTCCCGCGTGGTTTCTATTTTGTCGTGCGCGGTTTCTATTTTGTCGCTTGTCGAACGTTCGGCGTGTCGCAGGTGTGTGCAGCAGACCCATCAAGAACTCAAGGATGAGTTTGTGATGAAGTCGCTGATCACGCTGCTGACCCCGACAAACGACGGTCCAGGACAGGCTTCCTTTTCCGCCTCGAGCCCAGCGGCCCCATCTCCTGGAATTCACAGAAATAGGAGCTGGTTGCCCTGTCATCAGTGGAAGCTGAATTCATCGCAGCAACAGCAGCCGTCCGCGAAGGCCTCTACCTTCAGGAGTTGCTGCAGGAGGCAAAAATTCCAGCCTCGGCGAACTTTCGTCTGCACTGCGACAATCAGAGCGCGATTAGGATCGCGAACAAGCCGAGATTCGTCAACCGCACCAAACACATCGCGCTGCGGTACTTCTTCGTCAAGACGAAGTTGACAAGGGCAAGGTTGACCTAACCTACTGTCCTACGGGTGACATGGCAGCTGACTTCCTCACGAAGAAGCTGTCACGTCAGCAGTATCAGCACTGCTCCGAACTCAGCGGGGTAGTCAAGCGGGTCAAGACTTGCTACGGCCAGGAGTGAAGGGGGGTGTTACGAATAGTGATTATTGAAACACTACTGTGCACTCCTCACCGCAGCAATCGAAGCACGCACTACCGAGAATGAAGGCGAAAGGGCGGAAGAGAGGCGAAGGGTCGCACGGTTACGAAAGCATCTGGACCGTCGGGCAGACAGCATCAGGCAGCAGCAGTGGCAAGGATTATGCCCGGACAGTTTCGTAACTGTCTGGAGTCGCACGGTTGGATTTCGCTGTAATAAGGGAATGTACCCCTTAGAGTACATGGCTAGCTAGGTCGTTTGGTATTCCCTTGTAATCTTATTTATAATGCTGTATTTGCATGTTTTTAATTATCTCAAGCATTTACATTCACTCTGCTATTGAGGTCAAGGGCCCACCACCACTACTCAGTTGTGTGCGAACCTTCCTGAGGTGATCCTAGGCACGACCAACTTCTGATCGCAACAATGCACAGCACGGATGTAAGGGGAGGCGGATATTCCATTCCGAATTATCGCACGGATTTCAGCCAGTGTTTCTGGCTCTAGATTCAGCGAAGACTTGAAGTTGTAGCGCTTGCGGCGACCAGCCTTGTCAGTGGTGATGTTTGTCCACGTGACTGCGCTGCTTTCACCGGTTGCAGTGCAGGACGTGGTACCGCTTGATGACGGCTCCACAAGATCGAATGTTCAAGATGGTGTAGATAAACATGAGATAGGTTTTTACAGCTGAGTAACTGCCAACAGGGCATACCAGGGCATACCAGGGGGAGGTGGTTGCGGGGGGGAGAGGGGGTGGAGGGGTTGTGGTTGAGATACCAGGGTCGGAAATCAAGTTGTAATGGAGAAAAGAAGCTACAACAACATATCCTTGCATCCGAGCAGAATGACACACACGTACCGAATGTGTCAGAACGTTGCGGACGCACACATCACAAAAAAGGTCACTTTGACGTGGGGGGTGAGGAGGGGCGAAGGGTTGGGGGGTGATGGTGGGGAGCTGGGGCCAAGCTGAAGAGCGCACAAAGTTGGAACAAGAACAGCAGCTAGTCGAGCCACACAACGCACCTCACCACATTTACGATTGCTTTCCCAGATGCACCTTTGTCGCCGACCACCTGCCCATTGATCCTAGTGGGACGCAACTTGGCCACGTACTTATCTGGGAAGGGGAATGGCAGGGAAGGGGCGCGTGGGAAGGAGGTGGAAAGACGAACATTCGTAACACCAGTGAATGAAGGCCTTGCAGCATGAGACGGCCTGGCAGCATGAGACGGCATTAGACAGCCAGTCGGTTTAAGGATCGACCAGTTCTACAGGACTCTCAGAGGGCGGCGACGACATATAGTATCCAAAGCAGCCGTGGAACCCATCAATGCATTAATGAAATTTTAACGCTGAAACTAATTCGCAGCTGTAATCTGGAACAAGTGGCCATGTCGGTGCAGCTGTACCGTCTGCTGCCGCTGCTGGTGAAACGGAACACCGCCATGCAACGCCGGCACAGAGGCAACGAGCGCTGCGAAACATACCCATGGTCGTCCCTTTCGAAACCAAGGGCTTGGCCTGAGTGGCAGACGCGGCTGAAGCACTAACGTCGCGTGCGAGGAATGGCGGAAAGATTGATGAAGATGCGGCGGCACCTGACGGGCACGGCGGCGCACGAGGGAGCATAACAACGGAGAAGTGAGGGGCGAGACACAAGAAACGGCAAAGCCGCGCCAGCGCCAGCAAGTGAGGTGTCGCCAAGCTCTCCATGTTAGGTAGTAGGGACTACTCAGAGGACGAAGTTTGGCATAAGAAAAGGAGAGATGATGCTCAATGAAGACGAAACATTTATGTATATTCCGTCTCAGCCCGATGAAGGAGAGCCTTCAAAGGACGTGGGGAGGCGTACCTCACGCGTCGCACGCAAACTTCGCGCGGAGTTGCCATCTCGGCATCACCTAGCACGTGTGACGACTAGTACAATGAACGGGGCGAAGAAGGCGGGAGGCGCGCCTCCGAGCCAGTGACACACCGACCTAAGTTGGACGTGGCTTAGTCGCATGCTCTGCAGGCACTGCGCTCCGATGCCTCCGAATCATGCGCCATCGAATACTAGTGCAAGATTTCTATATGCCGAAATAGGTTCGAAAGTGTGGGATATCTTGGGGTACCTCAAGAACCAACTGGAAACACGGGGGGATTCAACAGAGTAGTATGTCGCAAAACGAGAGAATTACTGTAGAACCCTGTTCGGTGATTCGTCCTTGCTCGCGTGGCCTCGAATTACTCGAGTGGCCACCAAATTTGGTGATAATTGCTCGAGTGGCCACGCCAGGGCATTTTCGAGGTGTTTGTTTTCCCCGGCACATTTCCCTACAAGGGTTTGTATCCCCGAAATCCCTCGTTCGCACGAGTCTCATCCCGCGGTAGTGTTTCGTACTATTCCCCACCCGAAAATTTCGGGTGGGTGGCGGGCGCGAACGTGGCCCACACACTGTACACAAAACCGAAAAAAATGCACGACCAACAGTAGATGCGCGGGCATTTTCGGCCCAATGCGTGACCAATAAGCGCGCGGTCAAAAAAATCAGCGATCATAAACTGCACTGCGGGGGCATAAATGCGCGAACCCATTAGTGACCGCGCATGATTGGTCGATAATATGCCAGTTTCCCTTTTTGGCAATGCGCGTCCAATCAGGCGCGGTTATTTAGTTCACGACCATATATGTAAGGCGCGAAATGGATGCGGTATATGACCGGCAAGCTGCGCGTGCAATTAGACCGGTCAAATGCTCGTATGCTATAACCGGTCATATGCGCGCGTTTAATGGCCGGTAATGTCAGAATCCTAGGTATAAAGATAGAACAGGAAAGGGGACCTCCGGACTACTGGCGCTGCTAGCGACACGACGGCTCAACCTCCGCTCAACCTCCCCCAACTGTCCCACCCCCCTTTCACACACCCCTTGCTGCACCCCTAGCTCCACTCCCACGTCACCCCCCTAGCACCACTCCTTCGGCTCCCACACACCCACCCCCCTCAGCGGCAGCTGCAGCAGTGGGAGACGGAGGAGGAGGAGGAGCAGGGGACGGCTCACACACCCGCCACCTACATACCCACCACCCCCATACCCTCCAACGCAGGGCAGAAACGCGGGCAGCAGATGGGGCGGCGTGTGAGCGGAAGCGGGGCGGCGCGCGGGCCCCCAGGGCGCCGCGACGGGCGACGGGAGGGGCGACGCGCGGGCCCCCTGGGCGCCGCGACGGGCGACGGGAAGGGGGGGCGACGCGCTGGCCCCCTGGGCGCCGCGACGGGCGACGGGAAGGGCGACGCGCGGCCCCCCAGGGCGCCGCGACGGGCGACGGGGCAGCGCGCGCGGGTTCCCGGGGGCGACTCGCGGGTCGACGGGGGCAGCGCGCGGGTCGACGGGGAGGGACGCGCGGGTCCCCGGGGGCGGCGCGACGGTCGACGGGGGGGACGCGCGGGTCCCCGAGGTGACGCGTGAGGCAGCAAACCGCCGCGCGCCTCGGGGCGCTCGGCGGGCAGAAAACCGCCGCGCGCCCCGAGCGCGCGGCGGGCAGAAAACCGCCATGCGCCCCGAGCGCGTGCCGGGAAGAAAACACGTCGCGCACCACGGGGCGCGCGACAGACAGGACAGCAGCGGAAGCTAACGGTGGGCCCACAGGCAAGGAGCGTAACCGCTCTGATAGCATGTCAGAATCCTAGGCATAAAGATAGAACAGGAAAGGGGACTTCACTAGTAAGCAGGGCAGTACATATAGCAAACCCTAATTTGGGTTGTACTCACTATAGAGTACCCCACTGCAGACTAGACAATTATAACATTCTGACAGGTAATATAAGGTTGTACTCTTTGTTGTACCTTGCTACATCGCTCGCTAAATACACAAGAATTGAAAATGTTTCATATAAACCGAATTTTGTTATTCCTTTATTTTTGAAGCTACAATGTTACAAACCGAAACACATTATATTTTAGTTGTACAACAGCCTTGCAAGGTGGTCTCCACACAACACGGCAAGAGTGCGAATGTATCCAAACCACTTGACATAGCACCTCTGACTATTCATCCTATTATATTACACTGTATTTTTTAAGGGTTCCTCATCATAAATGCGTGTATGTTGCTAACTCGTATTAGTGTCAGCAAACTTTTTGGATCATTGTGCAATGTATGAATTAAATATACGGTACGGTCTTATTGGTTACATCGACATGTATGAGTATTGCTAGCATATGTTGTTTTACTCCTGATTTGCAACGCTCCCACAACGTTAACACAAGAAGGATTCATTTTTACCAGTTTGTAGTTTTGTCACGAGTTTGGGGTCCAGATAATGATACCATCGTTGGTATCATAATAGGAAGCAATACTACAGGAAAGTTCTGCCTGTCAGAATATGCTGTTTGTGTAGCCTGCAGTGGGGTACTCTATAGTGAGTACAGCCCCTTAGGGTTTGCCATTTGTATCCTGCTGCTTGCTAGTTCAATCATTCCTTCTCAATTCTGTTCCTGCACACAATCCTAGCTCGTACTTGGCTCCTCGTTACTAGTCCTACTGTGGCCTAGGCTACTAAGCCTAGGCCGTACTCCTACTACTTCTGACATGGTATCAGAGGGCGGCATGTCTGCCGCCTTCCTGTGTATGGGCCCACCACCCGCTTCCGCTGCCGTACTGTCCGCCGCGCGCCCCGTGGTGCGCGGCGGCGAAACCCTAATTTCTGCCCGCCGCGCGCTCGGGGCGCCTGGCGGTTTTCCCTTCCGTGGCGCCCGTCGTGGTGCCCTTGGGGGGGCCTCCGCGGTCCCCTCCCGTCGAAGCGCCCGTCGAGGCGCTCTCGGGGACCCGCGCGGCCTCCCCTCCCGTCGCCCGTCGAGGCGACCTTGGGGGCCCGCGCGGCCTCCCCACCAGTCGCCCGTCGTGGCGACCACGGGGGCCGCGCGCGGTCCCCTCCCGTCGCCCGTCGAGGCGACTTCGGGGGCCGTGCGCGGCCCTCCCCGTCGCCCGTCGAGGCGACTTCGGGGGGCCCGCGCGGCGCCCTCCCCGTCGCCCGTCGAGGCGACTTCGGGGGGCCCGCGCGGCGCCCTCCCCGTCGCCCGTCGAGGCGGCTCTGGGGGCTCGTCGCGGCGCCCTCCCTGGTGCCCGTCGCGGCGCCCCGGGGGGGGGCCGCGCGGCTCCCTTCTCGTCGCCCCTCGGGGCGCCCTGGGGGCCGTGCGTTTCCCCCCCCCCCCCCTTCTGCCTTTCAACTGCGGCGGCCGCCCCTCTAGCCGCCCGCCACTGCAGCAGCAGCCCCTGGAGCCGCCCGCCACTGCAGCAGCCGCCCCTGGAGCAGCCCGCACCTGCAGCAGCCGCCCCTGGAGCAGCCCGCACCTGCAGCAGCCGCCCCTGGAGCAGCCCGCACCTGCAACAGCCGCCCCTGGAGCAGCCCGCACCTGCAGCAGCCGCCCCAGGACCCGCGCGAGCCGCCTCTGCAGAAGCCCGCCCCGTCCCCCCCCCCCCCCCCCCCCCCCCCCCCCCCCCCCTCCTCCGGTGCTGCCCATTGCTCCCATTCCACCGTGCGTTCCGCGGTGGCTGGGGTGTGGGGTGGCGAGCATGGGGGTGAGAGGTGTGGGTTCTCCCCTCCTCCTTTTTCGTCTCCCACTGCTGCAGCTGCCGCTGAGGGGGGTGGAGGTGTGGGAGTCGTGGGGAGTGGCACTAGGGGGGTGATGTGGGAGTGGAGCTAGGGGTGAAGCAGGGGGTGTGTAAGAGGGGTGTGGGACTGTTGGGGGAGGTTGAGTGGAGGCTGCTGTCTTGTCGTCCGCAGCACCTGTAGTCCGGGGCGCACTGTCCTGGTAGCCCAGAGAGCCTGCTGCACCTGTTGCCCGTGGGTCCGTTGCTCCTGCCGCTCGTCGCAGCCGCAGAGCCTGTTACTCCTGTATTCCGGGACGCACTGTCTCGGTAGCCACTGAGAGCCTGCTGCACCAGTCGCCCGTGGGTCCGTTGCTTCTGCCGCTCGTTGTAGCCGCAGAGCCAGTTACTCCAGTATTCCGGGGCGCTCTGTCTCGGTAGCCACTGTGTCAGCCGCCACTGTGTCAGCCGCTTCTGTTGCCCGTGTGTCTGCAGCTTCAGTCGTCGCCTCCCATCTTCTCTCCTTTCATAGTCCCTCCTCCTCCTCACTTGCCCTCTGTGATAGCCTCTAGCTTTGCTGATAATTATGAACTATTGCTATGACTGCTCATTGTGCTGATTACACCCCACTTTGGCTATGGGGGTGTGTCAGAATATGTTGT